TTATTCTCTGGGCTGAAAAGCTTTTGGCATTTAAGCCTCATCCCACCTTTATTACTTCTTCTGTAATCTAAGCTTGTATATATCTATTTCATGCTAATTTAGACTGAACCAAAGAGGGATTTCTTTTTAGAAAGGAAAGTGCTGTCATTTTTCATTACTTGGAAATTCTTTCTCTATATTACATGAAGTTTTATAAGTGACTTGAATAGCATTAGCTCATCATTTTGTATTAAAATATTTGAGGATTTGTATATGCCAGCTCCAGTGCCTCTGTTTTAACACAGGGCTCTCCATGCAGGTGATTAATAGCAGAATTTAAAAAACCTCTTCTAATACAAGGCAGAAAATATTTTTTTTCTATTTGTACAAATACCTGCATGAAAGGGTGATTATCTACTACTCTTCTAGTCACAAAAAACTTCCATTTACTTCCCCTCACCTCACCTCTCTAATACATGTCCTCAAAAAAGAGTGAGCTATGGAGATGTGTCCCAATCACATGTCCAGTCACAGCCAGTCAGTTCCCCACCTCACCCCCAACCTGTAGCCAAGTGGTTTCATTGCTCTCCTGAGATTTGCAAGAGGTGACTCTCAATGCCCTTGGCTAGGATCCCACACGTGTCCCAATTCTGGTGTCAGTCATGAGGAGAGAGGCTCTCTTTGAAACCTCTCTCGTGTGCTCTGTGAAGAACGCAGTTCACACCAGGTGCTTACATGAGCTCCTGGCCAGCCTTACCCCAGTGTTTCAGGGAATGGGAGGGGACACCTTGGGCATGCTGCCACCACCTACCTCCTGGCACACCCTGCAAGGTGACACAGGCAGGAGGAAGCCACCTCGAGGAGCACTGAGCAGCTCTGGCCATGCACAGATGTAGGAAGCCCTTGGAACAAGTGAAATGGAGAAACCTCCTCTCCAGCAGTGGTTAACGTTGACAGAAACCAGAGCACCTGGAAGATCAGCAGCACCTAATTCTTCCCACCTCAGCTTCCAGGTGAGCAGCCCTCCTTCCCAGAGCCACTAAAATTCAGCATTTTTATCCTTTCAGCAATTTCCCCAGGACAGTTTAAAACTGATGTCTTCATGTTATAAACAGGAAGCTTTGTCTTGTGCATTAGGCAAAGGCAGATCATCAGCAGTCCCTAAATCCACAGGTGCAAGTCAAAGTGCCCCTTCCTAACTTTGCAGCGAAGTGGTCACTGCCATGCAACATCAACAACATAACAACAACATTGCTCTGTGCCAACAAGAAGAAATCTTTGGATTGAAACTTCTAAATTAGTCAATAGAGTAACATTCAAATCACAGAAGCCTTTTGAAATAACAATAAAAGTAGCATGTTTATTTTCTTCCCTGTTCTGTGGGTCCTGGGACACATGCTTCCAAGCTATCTCCAGCCATTCTATAACCCTAAGTGCCAAAACAAATGTAGCCATTTTTGAAAGAATTGCATTTTTCTTGCAATATGTTGGGAGCAAGAGCTTTTTACACAAGCCATTCATTTCAAAGCTACTCATAATTTATGATAGACTCAGCATAGCTATCCCCTTCCCTCAACACCAGCCAACTTTTTCCCAATAACAAAAATAGCCCAGGTGCAGGTAATCTCAAGTACTTTCAAATTGTTTACATAATTAGTATTCTTCCTCTGTACTTGCACAGGAAGACACTTCGTGGTAGACAGGAGGGAATTCATTCTGTGGATGTTTCCCTCCTGCTATTAGCATAATTTAGGTGATGTCCCAATTAATTAATGTCAACACCATTTTGGCAAAGCTCTCTGCTGTTTCCAGTGTTGTCTGCTGCCTGCAATGCTCTTGACCTCTAGGATGAGCAGTCCCCTCAAGAGCATGTTACTCTGCACCAGTTATTATTTTTTGCAGTCATTGGCCACTGCATGATTGCAGAGTAGCTGCCATGGAGCCCCGGGCACCTTTCCAGGCTGCTGATGCTCAGTTAACATGCAGCTGGTCAATTTCTGTTTGCTGGCTGTTCGATATTTGGCCCTGGGCGTTCCTTGCTGCGCAGCTCTTAGCCTAGATATCCAGGGCTGGAGCAGCCAAACAGTTCATAAACCAGCAGTGATGGGGCTGCTGCTGTTTCTAATGTTGGGTCAGCCAGGAGAAGGCCAACTAGGCAGAAAGAATGACAAGCACTGAGCTTGGGTATCCATCCAGGTTTAGGTGCTTACAACCCATTTCCTTCCAAATAATCCAGGATTCCAGGCCAGGAAGTAGCACTTGCTTATCTAGTTTGACCTGCTGGACCGCACAGGCTATTAAATTCAGGGCAGTTACTGCTGCATTGAATTTTAGCTTTAACTGGAACCATGTTTGTTTGGGTGCTTTAAGCATGTTTTCCAATTGGGCTTCAGACCAGGCCTGAATGCTTTTGAGAAAAGAAAAAAAAGAGATGCTCTGTTCCACAACAGCTTTTTTTAATCACCTGCTGCTAACAAGCAGTGCATCATTTCCAGTTCCACTGGCTTCAACTTCCAGCTCTTTGTCCACTATAGTAAAAAGTCCTATGTACACCAATAAGAAAATTCAACCCTCTTTTTCTTATGTTTTTAAAATGATAGACAAGTTTTTGGTTGTTTGGTTTTTGGTTGGTTTTTTTTTTTTTGGTTGTTTTTATGTAGATTTCCCTCCTCCTTTATCATGATTTTAAGAAACCTGCTACTTGCCTCATTCAAAATCCTTTAATTTCTCTGCTGGGATAACATATCAGGTCTGGCTTTAAAATCAGCCTTGTTGAGCTGCCAGTGTTGGTCTTCAGTGTCCTAGAAAACTGGTTCTTTTGTCTTCTTTCCCTTTCAAAAATGTACTGGATTATCATGTGCTGGGTTCTTTAAAGCAATTAGCTAAAAATGCCCCACCAAAACCAAATCAAACAAAATAATAAAAAAGCCAACAAACAACCAAACCCCCTTCAATTGGAGCACCAAAAATATTTGAGGCAATCAGACTAATCAGACATTTTGGGAAATACTGGCTGAAAGTTACTAGAATAATGTATAATAAGTTAAATTTGGAAGTATTTTGGGAGTTGCCTATGAAAGAAAGCAGCAATGTCGTTTCTCCCCCAAGGCAGCACAGCAAGGGTGGGGGCTTGAAGCTCAGCAAGTTCCTTTCCATTCAGCCCCCGTTTCTTTCATCTCTCCTTGACCTACACTGACAGCTGTGACAAAAAGTCACAGTCAAGCCTGCTGAACCGTAACTTCTCTGGAGTTTCAAGCCTGAGAGTTTCTGAAAAGCAGCTGTCTTGCACAAAGCTGTGCAGAGAGGAGCAGAGGCTGCCCCCACAGAGACCCTCTGCTCGGCTGCTGCAGTGTGGGAGGGTGAAGGGGACAGGCATAAGCACCACGCCAGCAGTTCCTGAGCCCCAGGATCTGTTTGTCTGTCAGCAAAAGCCAAAGGGAATTATAGCAAAAGAACTGCAGGAACAGACATATGGTTTCAGCACCAGGTGATTAAAAAAAAAAAATAAAGAAAAAGAAAGGGAAAAAAGAGGGCAAGGTTTGCTAGCCCCTTTGACCAAAGCATCTGCAAAAAATGGGATTAGTGGCAGCTCCTGGAGTTTGGGGACAGCCTATCAGGGGGCTTCAAAGAGTAGCAATAGGCTCAGGTGCCCTTCCATCTGTTTCAGTAATGCTCCATTTTCAGATCAGGGATTGGGGTTGTTTCTTCTGATGGCACATGAAGCAGTGATGGCCCTGAATTAACCTGAATACTAAAAGCTACAGCCTTGTTCCCTTGCCCATGTTGGGTTTTCTGGCAAGGTTTAGGGGTCTGGGGGGCAGGGGAGGTTACAGGGATGTCTTCTGTAAGGAGCTGCTGTCAGCTTTCCCCATGTGTGACAGAGCCAATGCCAGCCAGCTCCAAGGCAGACCTGCTGCTGGCCAAGGCTGAGCCCAGCAGTGGTGGTGGTACCTCTGGAATAACAGATTGAGGAATGGGAAAAATACTCCTCACAACTGCAATTGGAGAAAGGATTGAGAACACGTGAGAAAAAGAGCTCTGCAGACACCAGGGTCAGTGTAGAAGGAAGGGGAGGTTTTCCAGTCTGGAGCAGAGATTCTCCTGCAGCCCTCGGTGAAGACCATGGTGAAGCTGCTGTGCCACTCCAGCCCATGGAAGTCCATGGGGAGCACAGAGGAGCCTGTGACCCCATGAGAAGCCCCTGGTGGAACAGGTTTGGTGGCAGGACTTGTGGCCCTGTGGAGGGCCCACACTGGACAACTCTGTTTCTGAAGGTCTGTACCCCATGGAAGGGACCCACACTGGAGCAGTTCATGAACAACTTCAGCCCATGGGAAGGACCCACTTCACCAGAGAAGTTTATGAAGGACTGTCTTCCATGAGAGAGACACCACTCTGGAGCAGGGGAAGAGTATGAGTTCTCTCCCTGAGGAGAGAGGAGGAGCAGAGACAACCTGTGATGAACCTACCACAATCCACAATGCCCATTCCCTGCTCCCCTGCACTGCTGACAGGAAAGAGAGATTTTGGGAATAAAGCTAAGCCCAGAAAGAATGTGGGGTAGGAAAGTTGGTTTTAGATTTTATTTCTCATTACCCTACTCTGATCTGATTGGTAATAAATTATGCCAGTTTCCCCAGGTTCAGTCTGTTTTGCCCATGGCAGTGACTGGAGATTGATCTCTACCTGTCCTTATCTTGACCTATGAATCTTTCATTACATTTTCTCTCCCCAGTCCAGCTGAAGAGGAAGTAATAGAGAAGTTTTGGTGGGCATCTGGTGTCTAGCTGGATCAACACACCACACTGCCCAAAGTCAAGAGAGGCTGAGAGTATTTCACTTTGAGCCAGTACTACTGAGAAACAGCCACCTCTGCAGAACATCCTTCCTCTGGGTGCTGCGCTCTGCCTAAGAGTCACCACAGTCCTGCTGGATGAAGGCCACGAACCACAAGGAGGAGGGTAAAAACTTGTTCCTAGAAACCTCACATAGCTTCCCAGAAACAGCAAGGGAGGGGCTGAAGTTCCAGCTGTTTGACCAGACAACATCATCTCTACAGGCAGCAGTGTACAACCTCCTTTATTTTGTCTGCTCATGATTTCCTGCTCTTCGGCTTGACAAAGTGTCAAAGGCAGGCCTAGGGTTCTTCACAATTTTTCTGCAAGATGAACATTTTCTGAGCGCTCTGGCAACTGGTAGGTTTTTGGGACTGGGAATGACAATACGCTGATCTATCTCTGAGGCAAAAAACAGGTATTTTTCTCAACAACAAACAAGAAATTTTTCAGATCAACAGCACTGACAGTGTTTTCCACAGCAGGAATTAGGACCGATTTCCAGGTGAATCTTTTCAGTGAAAACAGCCCACCTGCCTGTTTTTACATGGATTTGAAGCACTACAGCGAGACATAGACACAACGGGAGCAGGGAAGGTAATGGAAGAAAAAACACCAATCAGCACAGATCTTGAGCCCTTAAGTAGCACAAGGTATTCATTAGCTTGCAGCTAAGAGCTACAAGCAGTTACCAGAAAAACCTTGTCACCCTCATGAGTCACACAGGGACATGCTATACTCACTCAAAATCAAAACAAAATCATCCATTTCCTGGAACACTACCAGCACAAAGCCTAAGTGAAGTGACAGGATACAAGAAGAAAGGGCTGGTAGAAGAATAAAGAAGGTCAAGAGTCTCTTTCAATTGGTTTCCTATCACTGCAGAGAGACTCTGGCAGGTCCCAAGAGCCACAGGGCTCCTGGGGTCACCCGGAGCCCCCAGTTGAGCTTCCCAGGCCCGTGCCGGCACTGCCAGGGTCCAGCCGCTCTCATCACCCGGTGCCTCTTAAGTGTCCATCTAACCTATTGCTTCTGAGCCTGGCTTTGTCCCCACTGAGTCAAAGGGGGAAGGATTTGGGTCACTGTAGGCTTTTGTTAGAAAGGTTCTCTAAATTAGCTCCTCTATTTGAGATAAAAGAAGAAAGGGGTCCATCTTTATTTTCCCCATTCACCCACTGTAATTACTCCATCTCATCCCTGTCTGCTATTCACTGGCTCTCAACAAGGCCCCGGCAGCCAGGTCACAGGTCAGCACAGAGGACAAACCCCTGCTTCCCTGAAAAGGATTGAAATGTCGTAAGTGCAGCTCCAGCAGCTTCCAGAACGTGCCAATTCCTTCTGAAAAAGTGGGCTTGGTGAACCACACCTGCAGTGACACGGTGAGGAGACCACAGGCCTGGAAATCCCTGCTCCTGCACTTCATTCTCTGGTCAATCACTTGGTTTGCTCAGGTTCTCAGGAAAACTTTCAATATACCCCAAGTCTCTTTATAGTACACTGCTTTATTTCTCCAGATTACATAGCAAGGTACTTGCCTTGTGAATTTTCAGATCTGCTCAGCTGCCTTGTTTGTATGTTTATTTTTAATTCAATTTGTAATTTTGCTGCTGTTGTTAGAGGGACTGTTAGACAGCCCTGTACAAGTCGAATACTAGCTCTAATATGAAACATACAGGTAAGATCTTCTCCCAGGCCTCAGAGAAAAGGTGCAATTGCCCTGTGACTACTTGTTTGTTTGAAAAGATACACATCAAAACATCATAAAACAAAAGCTGGGGCAATTTTCTCTGTTCTGGCATCAGTGCCAAGGATCTTGCTGGAGCCACTTCTCTAGCTGAAGGTCCATAAGGTGACAACTTCTGGTATAAGCAATAAATGCAAAAAAATGCAGCTGTGGGGGGTGGGCTTAAAGAATAAAATGTCTCTCTTTTAGCAGTTTCCTTTTACAGGGAAGGCTGGCTCAAAAGGATTAACAAACAGATGTTCTGCAAGCCCAAAGGAGAGAGAAAAAAACCCCAAAACACTAAATCCAGTTTCCTTTAACAACACTTTTAAGCAGATCAGGGGTAGGTGAGCACTGAACACCCACCTCTCTCACCTAACAAGAGGGAAACCTTGGGCTGGGCCAGACAAGACCAGGAGAAGGGGTTTTATTTTTCCCTCCCATTCCGAAGGGATAGGGCTGACAGGGAAGAAGGAGCTAGCTGGAATCTTGAATGTCTTAGGACTGCCACAGCAGCAGCTGCAAAAAATAATCTGCTGCCTCCCTGCTGTACTGAACAATGCACAAAATCCTAATGAGGCAGGTTTTGATGAGAAATATCCCATTTACCTGGCCATGAGGGTAACACTCGCTCTGCAAGAGCCATACTGCAGATGCCAACTTTTTTTCTAATAACAGCTCAGCAGAGGTTATAATTTTCTTTTCACAGTACAGCTCAGAGCTGGGCTCAGATGTTAGTGCATTACAGCTGATGTACATATCACTCAGTCAACAGAGCTGGCAAGCAGAACAAAAGGAGGGTAGGAAAGCACATAAGAGGCTTTGATTTTCCAAACCAAAGTTCTTGGAAGTGCCAGATGACAGTGGAAATTCTCCCAAACCATTTCCCCCTTTGGAACAGAAGAATCATTTTTTCCTCACTGCAGGAGCCATTAAAATATTTCCTGTAATATTTATATGCAGCATCTCCCTTTCACTCAAAAACTCCTGTACTGGGGATTTCCATTAACTTCATCAGTCAGCACTTTCTAGTGCTTCTAAATGCAATGTATAGCATGATAAATATGATGCTGGACAAGAGCAGAGCTCAGATCAGCTGCTTCAAGACACAAACAGCTGAGCAATCATTCTCTCCATTACATGATTATGCTAGTGCACAACTGTTTTTTTTCTCCTTGTCTTTCCTCAGTAGGCTCTACTGCACCTATCTCAGAGAGGCAGAGAATGCATCTCAAAGAGGAAGACAAGAACAGAATAGGAACATCTGTCCGGGAAAGCTGTGCAGGGGCAGATCACAGATCTGCCATGTATCAGCACAATTCTGTTCACCTTAGTAGTTTCCCTCAAAAGTCTGTGATCACAGCTATACTTGAGCACCCCAGCCTAGAGCAATGTTGTCTCCATTGCTTACTTTGGCACCAGAAAACATACTCTAAGCTCATCTGGCTCATCCCCAAGCCTGAAGCTTGCATACACTAGCACAGTCTCTGCCAAATCCATGTCTTTCCAATTAAGTGGTTTGTTTTTTTTTTTCGCTTTTGGCTTCCCCACTGATATTGACAGCATTTGCAAACAGCACGGGAAGTTTCTCCCCAGCAGAGGCTGCTGTTTGTCTGCATTCTTGTCTTCCAACATGAGCAATTTTAAAGATTCCTCCTCTGATAAGCAAAACAGCACAAATTCCAGGGTGCTCTCTCACACAGCTAATTCCTGTTTCAGTGACTGACAGTCAATCAGAGCTCATCTGCGTCCATGCCATCGGGCTGTGCTGGGAGAAACACTTGAGCTGGCTGAGTGCTCTCCAGAAGCAGTTCAGGGACAGGCTTGGCCACAACACAGCCTCCCAACTTCACCTTCCCTGACCCTGACAAGGTAACTGCAGCGGAGAAAAGGTACCAATTCAGTTCTCTTTGCTGCTTCCATTTTTAAGGCAACATTCAGAAAGCAATTAGTTTTCTGAGAGGTTTGTGATGAGTGCAGATACAATTTAAAAGCGGGCTCCATCCATTAAGATAGTCAATGTAAAAAAGAAGCTGGTTTGAGCTGAATGCAATGAAAACAGCTTGTGGACAAACTGTAATTAGCTCCAACTGCCTGATTTAAATGAATGTCACAGAAAAATTCTGTGGTAATAACCCATGGATACCATGGATAGGTACCACCTGTGTGTTCATGTGCCATTTAGGATACAAGCCAAACATGCTGAACCCAAAACGTTGTTTGTTCTGCAAAGAAAACTACAGTTCCCAGCCCACTAAAACAAAACATGAAAACACCCCCTCTCATTTTGTTACAGATTTGCTATCACAGGTAATATTAGGGGTCTTTATTTGTCTGTTGTTTTTCCACCTGCAAACCTTCAGATCTCCTTTTCTAGGAAAAGGCAGCAGAGGGAGCAAACATTTGCTGCAGTGTTAAGAATCCAAATTTCTCCAGGAATCACACATTAAAAGTGTTTTTTCTTGGCCTTTTACTTGTCCCACTCTCTTCAAATAGTACTACAGCTCATAGGACTAGATTAAAACAACCAAAGGATGTCCAAGACACACACCAGGAGAGGAATCTTTTTTCTCCCAAAACAGACCCAGAACTTTTTAACAAACTCTACCTGTGTTTTCTTTTTCTATTGATTTCCCCTTTGACATTTAAGTAAGGATTTGTATTTAAACTTTCACATTCTGTAGGATGTTTTACAACATACCCTGTGCACATAAAAAACTATTTTCTATTCAATACACTCAAAGAAGCAGTAATCTGTCAGGCACTTAGTCCTCCAAATATAATGATAATTTATGTCAGTACAAGTATTTTTTTTCCTGTTGCTAATTGTAGAGTTTAGTGGTGAGCACTTAAAAGCTACAAATGAACATAATGAAGTTTCCTTTGATAACTGTATCTATTTCTAGATGTGTTCAAAGAAGGAAATAAGGAAGGCATCAGGAAAGACAGAGGAAGCCAAATAATCCCCACAATGCTTGTGTGAGCTTCATTTCTCTACAAGATTTCCAGAAGAGCAATTTCAATTTTGCATCCTCACCACAAGCACCTTTGTATTTTGTACAAAATTGTGTCATTCATCTATGTGCTTACAAAGATGAAATAGCAGCTGGAACACAAGACTAAAACTGCTTTAATTCTCAGAAGAAGAAACCCCTGTGGAGGTACAAGGTGCAGGGAGCATACAGACTCTTTGCCCTGCACTCAAGACCACTTACCTCTCCTCAGCTGGCAGATGACAACCACCTGCAGCAGCTTAAGCACATCCCAGAAATGCATTTCAGTGGATTTTCCCAACCACAGAGAACCATCTCAACTCCAAGGAAACAGAGATTGTCTCTCACACACCTGTATGCTGTTTTTATCCTGCTGACTCTCACTCCTCTTTTCTCACACCCAGCCAGATGAAGCAGCCATCTCCACCTGGGTTTCCCTGTTGCCACCAGATCACAGTCCCAGTGCTGAGACAGAATCCTGTTTCCCCAGTCCACCTCAGAGCTCAGTCCTGAGCTTTGCACAAGCCAATGATGTGCTCCAGGAAAGGGAAATGGTGGAGGTGTGATGGGAAAATGTCCAAAAGGCAGTAATGCTGTGATCTTAACATTTACTTATATTTAAAAAGACATCTGTGAAGTCCTGCCTCTGGGCAGATTTCTGTCTCTCTCCCCTGAAAGTGACTGCATGTCCCACGCTCCAGATTCATCCCAAAGCCCTCAGAGATCAGGACAAGCCCAGTTTAGCCAGGAGCAGGTATGTTACCTGCCCTTTCTAAGACTTAAGCCAGCAACCCAGCCAAAGAACAGTGTCACCACCAGCTTTCCTGAGCGCACCTGCATAGAGAAGTAGCCTAAGGAACCAGCTTGTGGACTTGACTGGAAGATGAAATTTTCAGCCTTTTGAAAAGGTTTCCTTCCTCTCTTGTCTCTTTGTGGACCTATGGCAGCTTTTGAAAAATAAAACAATGAGGAAATGTGGAGAAAAACATAGATGCCCGTTTGGTTTTCTAAGTTGTAATCCTCATAAAGTGTCCCTGAAAGCTTAACGAAGTACTTGCAGACATGAGTTGTGAAACCCTAGAAATTTCTGGCCACAAAAAGTTTTTACAGAAAAAGCTTTTCATAAAGCTTTGGAGAGAAGCCCAAGTATACTGAAAGATAAAAAAATGTACAAAGTAAAACTCTGGAGGGTGGTGTGATCAGGGAAATTATTTTGAAAAAAACCCCAAAAAACTGCAGGGAAACAGGCATTTAAAAGCTTAGAAGATTCATATTTCTTCACAGTATTTTGGCAGACAATGTCTATACTATTATTAAATTCCTTAGTTTTTGGAACAGGATGGATCACTGAGTGACAGCGAACACAGGAGTGTTGAAGGAATAGCATACAAGTGGATGCATGTCAAGAGGCACTGCCTTTGATCTGTTCTCTGCTGTGAAGGATGACAGGGAGTTGTTATCCCAAAGCACTTTGCACAGGAAATCAGGATGTGGCTGTAACAGATATTAATCTCCCAGGAGAAAGCTAAGGAGTAATTCAAGCACGGTAAATTGCAGTGACTGAACAGTGTTCAGCTACAGTAGGTGTAATACTGGAGGTTGTAGTATTACTTGCACTCATCCCTGTGCAAAGCCCTAATATCTACCTTATCTCTGACTTAGGGGTCTTAAAGAGTTCTCTGGGGAAAAAAAAGCTCTCAAGGCTTCCAGAGGTATTTAGCAAACACACAGGCATGACATGGCACTGCTGTAACTTAGATTTGTAACTTATTTTTTGTGCATTAAATGCTAAGTAAATATTCTTCTGAATTGAAATCCAGCTAATATTTAAGCTCACTGAAAATTCTTTGTTTTACCTGTAGTAATAACTTTATCAACTGAAAAGCATTTTGTTCTGTTAAATGGTCAGAAAAAAGCCCATCACCTTTTGCAGTGTTGCTGAGCCACTTGATATTGCTCTCCTACTGAAAAAAACAGTACAGAGACCATATTGCAATCAATACCAAGTGATCCCACAACTTTTGCTTTGTATTGCATCTCTGCACCCTCTAATGACTTTCATATTATCATCAGCATGCTCTCAGGAAGTTTACATGTCAGGACTAATTAACTAGGATGGTTTGTCTTCCCTTATTAATCCCCTAAGTACTGAAAAACGCATTTCCCTTTGAGCAGGAGCAGCTGTGACCAACGTGGCATCAGAGATGCAAAGCCAGCATTTTACTCAGAAGCACTTGCTACAGCATTTCTGGGAGAATAATTAAAGTAACTGTTGCTGTAATTCCTGTAATAAGGTTAAAATGTGTCTTTACAATCTGACTTCCCAAAACTCCATCCAAACGATTTGTTAATGTGTATGCAATAGCCTGTCATGCACAATGTAGCTTGAAAAATTGCTGCCTTCCACTTACAGAGATACTTCCTAAATCTGTACTTTTGCAATTAGGCTCTACCTAGAAGCCAAAAATTTACTGAAGAACCAAGCCCTTGCCTTTTAATTGTACCAGTATTGCTATTTTTTTAAACTAAATCACTTCTTTTGTTAGATCTTTGTTTTGCTTACTAATGCATATATCAAGTAAAGTAGCCTGTTTTCTATAAGGAGATTACAATTCTATTGTCCTCATTTCTTGAAGGGAAATAGTATAGGAAAAAAAGAAGACATTTAGTATTTGCATACCTGTTCAACAGATTATATTTGTTGAATTGAAATACATTTGTCTTGTTTGTAAAATGACTGTTTCAGAACACGAGTTATCTAAAATACATTCATATTATTAAAAGAGTTTTGGTTGTTGAATTAACCTTTTCTACACTTGCCATTTACTGAAATGTCCTTCATGGACTAGAACCAGAGAGCTGTTTTTCAGCCTGTAGAAACATCACGTAAATCATGGCTCTCATGTTTCTTCACGTCAATTGAGGTCTAGCTGTTCACCAGCTCTGCCACTACACACCTGACTTCCCCAGAGCTGGGCTACAGCTGATTTCCTGAATCCTCTCTAAATGCTCAAATTAATTTTTTCCAGCTCTGGCCAGTTTCTCCAAAGCAGATTTACCTCCTGGGGTAGGTGCACACAGGCTCCTGTGCCTGAGAGCTACAGCTCAGTCAGCTCCACGTGAAGTTCATTCCACAAAATTCCAAACAAACTGCTTTGTTATGAGAATAGGAGGCTCTGGCCTTGAGTGTATCTGTAAGACAATCCTTGACAGAGTGAATTGATACCTTTTAGTTCAGTCTCCCTGACACATGTGGTACTCAAGCATTGAATTCTTATATATATACAAACTCATTGAAAGCACAAAATTCTCAAAAAATACCCAATAATAACGAATCCCCCCAAAAACCAAACAAACAAAAAACAAACCAAAAACTTTAATTTTTCCCCCACAGGCATTCAGGTCAGCAAAGCCAACAGTCTGCTAGTATAGTTCATATCTTCTACTTAGTTACAGTTATGACCAACAGAACATGATGTTCTGATTTAAAAATAGACGTTGTTTTATATTTGACTTGCTAATTGAAATTAGTATTACCTCAAAATGAGTGAACCATGTGTTTACAGCACATCTTCTACCCCTGTACACAAACCTTCCTTTAAATCTGAATGATTACATGATGCTTTTCCTTACTTACAGAAATGACATAAACAAAAAAAAACCCCAGACTATGACATTTCTAGTTGCTAGACAGTTGAAACCAAATTCCATTATTCTGTGTTTCAGTTTTGTGCAACTTAATAAATGGAGGAATAGCTATTTTCTGTTACATTTAGTTAAAATATACTATTTGTTCCATGATTTTCAAGAATTGCCAGAGCTAAGTAGTACAGCTACCACGTAGATGTCACCGCATATCACAAGTGGGACTGCTACAAATGCCTCTTATAAAAGCTTCCCAATGTCTCCCTTTGTGAAACTGGGCTTTACTAAACTTGCAGCTACCCTAGTTTTGGGGTTTGAACAGAATTTCCTACATCAAGTGTCTTTTGTGTGTCTTTGGTGGAAGGTTAATTCAGAACAGCTCAGTCTCTCTATGGATAAGGCCAAGAAAAAATCATGAAGCTTAGTATATTACAGCTGCCTAAAGAAGAAAAAGGTTGAAAAGGCAGCATTAAATTTAAATCTTTGGCCAAGAAAAACTAAAATTTAAGTCATTACTACAATTGTGGAGTCAAGCAGCGAGACTGGGAAACACTAAAGGCAAATACCTTAAAAAAAAAAATTGAGGCAGAAGACTGTTTTTCACACCAGACTGTCACAACGATGATGGTCGGTAACAGCAACATGGCTTTGGAAACAGAGTTTCAAAATCTCCCACCTAAAACACTAAGATCAGACTTTAAGGGAACATAGGTAAATCAAACTGGGGATATTCTCCACCAAGTCTAGAGATTTCCAGCTAGTCAGCAAAACAATACTAAGTTTATAATGGCAAAAGTCAAAGTAGAAATAAAGAAACCAAAAAGAAGCAACAAAAAACCCACAGGAGTTTTTATTTATTTTATTTAGAAGTAAAATAAAACATGACATTTCCACCTAGAAGCCACTGGCATATGCTGAAGTAAATTCAAACATGGAGAGGTGGGCTTAGCTTTCTGATTCCTCCCAAATTCAGCTCCTTCCTTTTGCAAGCTCTGATACACCTGAGGGCACAACTGTTTAAGGCAGCCGCTGGAGTTCAAGCTTGTCAGCAGACGGTGCTTCAAAGACATCATCTTCAACACTTTCTTCTATCGGCTTCATCTTGGCTGAAGTTCTCAGGTAAGGAGATGTCCGGCCTGGGCCTGTCACAGGTACAGAGAAATTACCAGTTAATTTAACAATGTACACCTGCTACATAGACCTATTTGTGACTAAGTGGACACAGGCTGATGATCCTGCCCCAGTTGCTTCATGAGAGGATTTCTAAGTGAAGTTTTCTTTGTTATCTGGCCACAGGCACCAGGAAATTCTAGACATGGAACAGTCACGCTGCTATGAACCAGCAGTGCCTGTTGCTAACCACAGACACAGCACTCTCCCCAAGCTCAGTGCAAACCCTGACAGCTCAGGGTGCCCACTGCTTGCTCCCTGGAGATCATTTTCTCACCATTGCACTCACCCTCTGACTCGTCTCCAATTACAGCAACACGAGTGGCTGCCCCAAGTACAAAAGGTGTGGACATCTGCCCAGCTGCCTGGCTGCGGGGAAGGGTCCTCAGTGCACTGGGCAAACCTTGGATGGGCACAGCATCAAAGCCACAGCTGCTTTTAACATCATATTTAAGTCATAGGACATGCTGAGTTGGAAGGGACCCATCAGGATCAAGCCCAGCTCCTGGCCCTGCACAGGACACCCCAAGAGCCACACCATGTGCCTGAGAGCATTGTCCAGACACTGAGACACAACACTCTTGAACTCTGCCAAGCTTGGCACTGTGACCACTTCCCTGGGGAGCCTACCCAACCACCCCCTGGGTGAAGAGCCTATCCTAATAGCCAACCTAAATTAGCTATCCTAATAGCCAACCTAAACCTCCTCTGACACATCTTCTTGAGTTTTACGCAGCATGATAATGTGAAACTTTTACAACATTTATACCCCCATAAACAACCACAGAGAAAACAATTTTTACAGGCAAAGGCCACATAACTTTTGACTGACTGTGATTTCACTGCAATAAAACTACCTTTTAGAAAGGCAGCAACTTGTCTGCCAGAGCAGAGCACACCACAGCTATCACTGTCAAGACATTAAATGGAGTTTTTGTACAAGTTACCCCTGCAAACTACCTCTATTGCAGTTAAATTTTTAGTATGAGGGTCAAACCAGAAAACTCCTTTTACATCAGCTGAACAATTCTACTTTCCATTGTTCACTCAGAAATCAAATCTACATGTGGACATGTATCTCTCTCAGTACCCTCTTCTAGAGTTAGACCATTGCAACAGTATGAGGTTGCAAACATCTAGTATATGATGACAAAAATATTATGGAAATCTTTGAATTTGAAAAGAAAACAGCAAGAAATAAAGCTCATGCTAACAGACTGTTTGCATACAAGCTAAAAATTTAAATATTCTTGAAGAAAATACTGATAGCCATAACACACTCATTTTTAAAAAAGTTCATCAGATATAAAGTGCTGTGCTAAGGAAGCCAAATTATGAGGAAAGACTCATTTGCATCTGTTACACACAGAGAACAGTATACAGACACAGGCAACACCAGCAGGTTACGATAATACTGCATTTTTAAGCCACATTCACAAAGACACTGTTGGGAATTGGCATTTCAGAACGTTTCATGTTAAAAATGTATTAGTATTTTCTTTTGAGATTCAAAAATACTTAAACTGCCATAATACACTTTTAGATACCGAAATTGTTAAATATTTATGTCCACACAGATGTGTTTTATGGCCTAAGCGAAGGATAACTAGATCAACTGGCTAATGTACCCCACCCAAAGTCTGTGGATACATTTGGATATTAAATTCGCTTTTCTGGGAGACACACAAAGGTAAAAGGGTGCCTGAAAATGTTGAGTTATGGTTCCAGCTTCTTTTTTTTTTTTTGTAGATCTTTGTTTTAGTGTAGTTTGTTATTTTTAAAATGTTTTTTATCTGTTTAAAACTACTTAATTCTCTCCAGAAAATAGAAGTGAGCAACCAGAAGTTTGTACAACAGGATCCAATATAAGGTCTAATTCGCTCAGCCTGTTTGTTTCAAAGACATGCTCTTATTTGCTCCAAATACAAAATTTTTTTTACTGATGCCATTATCAGTGTCAGACAGATGTTCAAGTGACTGAGTCAGACTTTCACTACATTTTGTTGCCCTTTCTTGAGGGCCTAAACCAAAATACATAATAACATTCCTATGAAATCCAGTCCTGCTTTTAACCACAAGTGGGGAGCATATAATTTGATAATACTACTAAAAACATTACCCAACCAAAACCTTTTTACATTCCTGCTCAGCTTAGAAGTTAACAAATACAGATGCATAGACCAGCAAATCTGAGATACCTAAAAAACAAGTACCACGGAAAAGGAGATTGTATCTCAAATATGTGAATGTCTGTCAAGCAATAAAATTACAGAATAGAAACCAATAACAAAATATTATATGAAGGACTGAAATTCAGGTGAAACTAGGCTTGTGATCAGATTGAACTATTTTTGCTTAACTCAAATTTTGGAAAAAGAGATACCTCTATTTCACTTACTAATGAATAACATACAGATGGACCATGGATGTCAAGCACAAGTGTCACATGATAAACAAACCCCACTTTAATACCTTTTTGAGGATGCCTGCTGAGTTAATGTGATGTTATCAACAGAAAACATCATGCTGCAAACGACTCACTCCGTAAGCATTATAGAACTCTTGTTGGTTATTTCCTTAATATAAAAGCAAACAGTTAGTTTGGTTTCTTAATTAATTAAATTCAAAACATACTTTTGTTAGTAATTGTAGTTTGGGAGCTACTAGTTAGTAATTTTAACCCTTTTATTACTGAACACTTTAAAAAAGGATTAATATTAATTTCTTGAGAAAATGAGTCAAAGCGTATCATTTATAGCACTGATACAAGTGTAATTTTAAAAGATGGGATTATAAAAAGTATAAATGCTCATTTTTTTCAAGAACATGGAAATTAGGGCAAGAAAACTAATTTGCATTATGGGAGTCAAAAATTATATTTGGACTAGGAGGCTTTTGTCCACACAACAATCACCTAGCAATGACAAAACAGTATTCCTGTAGAGTTCCCACACATGTAAGTTCCCTTCATTCATTTTTTTATTCTAATTAAAAAAAAAAATAAAACTGTCATTTCCATATGTTTCTCACAAAATCTTTTGGGGATTTTTGATTGTGTTTGTTTATTCTAAATAAACAAATGTATGCCTGTAGAAGGAAGATCCAGGGATCAGCACTGGAACTGTAAACCTCAGAATGTGCCTTATACTAAATTTTGAAAAAACAGACAAAAAAATACCCTGACTGTTGCATTGAGAGCACCCAGCAGAAGATTTTTGGAAATACAGCAGTGGCAACATAAATGGCAGATTATTTTTTTCTGTTTTCCCTGTGATTTCAAAAAAAGTGCATGCATGGCCACAATCCACACTAAATACCAATCTTTAAGTGGCAGCAGCCCCATCATTGGCAATGACAGTACCCAGGAATAAATAACAAGCTATCTTGGCAAAAACAAAGATTGAAGCATTACAGTTCAGGGAAATGAACAAACTTTTTTCAGAAGTCAGAAATTTCAAAATCAAAACACAAAGAAGAAATAAATAACAATACTTCCCATGTTGTGTGTTGCACTGGTGTAGGGGCAATCCCTCTGCCTCCCCAAAAGTAAGGGAAAGTATTGGACTTGGGAGGCTGCTGCTGCCTCAGCTGGGCTGAGGAATTTCAGAACATAAAAGACACATAAACCCTTCTGTCTTGGGGAAAGCACACCCTGTATACCAAAAAAAAGGTACACAACCAAGGGAAAGTATGACAGAGAAAAGTGTATTTATCAAGTATGTGCTAAGCACAAATGCATCATGGGGATTTATATAATTACAGCTGAACTTTGTCATGCATTTCAATTACTTTCTCCCAAAGCTGAAATACTGGTGTAAGAGTTTTGCTGCTAAGCCTGAAAGACACATTTGAATTCTAACTAATCGCACAAACACAGTTCTACATTTTTTTTCTGAGTGTGCAAATTCACCCAAAGGCTCTCTATGCAAAAGAATGGCTTCAATTTCATGGAACTCTGCTGTGTGTAGAACAGGTGAAAAGCCACTCGAGGGTTCAAAGGTAAAGATCAGAGAACAGACCAACACAGGAGACTTCGTGGCAGGAATCTGCTACAGGCTGCCTGATCAACAAGAGCAAGTAGAAGGCAGCAGTCCTTCAGCAAGTGGATCACAGGCCTTGGTTGTCGTGGGGAATTTTAACCACCCCTGTATCTGGTGGAAAGGCAACAGGGCTGGGAGCAAGCAGTCCAGGAGATTTCTGGAACGCAGCAGGCAATTTCTTCGCTCAAGTGATGGACGAGTCAACTAGGGAAGGCGCTCTGCTGGACCTGTCACTGATGAACAAGGAAGAACTCATCAGGGAGCTGAAAGCTGCTGGTAATCTTGTCTGCAGTGTCCAGGAATGGGTGGAGTTTAAGATACTGTGTGGTGTACAAGACAAATAGTAAAATTACAGCCTTACAGGACAGGGGGCTGTGGCTTGCTCAGGGTTTTACTTGGCAGGAACTAATGGGACATAGGCAGCAAAGGGACCCAAGATGGTTGATCTTTGAGAATATCTTCTTCGAAACACAAGGACAGTCCATTCCAGTGCACAGAAAGCTGAGCAAGTATGGTAGAAGGCTGGCATAAATGAACAAGAAAGTTCTGACAGATCTCAAGCAGACACACAAAGTGTAAGTGGGGGTGAGCTCCTTGGAGGGAATACAGAACAATGGCCCAAGCATGCAGCGATGAAATGAGGGAAGCCAAACCTCAGCAAGACCTGGATCTAGTGAAGAGCAGCAAAAAAGACATCTAGAAATAAATCAGCAACAAAAGAAAGACCAGGGTAACTGCAAGGCCAGGGCTCAGTGATGCACAGAACACAGGAACATGAAAAAGTCTGAAACATTCAATAACTTTTTTGTTTTGTTTTTTTACTTTGTTTACTCAGAGGTTTGTCTGAGGCCTGCTAGGGCTCTACATCCAGTGGTAGAGACAGAGTGATGCTTGACTGACAGGAAACCTGGACTGAGCTAGGAACAACTTAAGTTGACAGGGTGAACACAGGATTGTGGAACCCCATGGGCTGCATCCAAAGGTGCCAAGCATTGGCTGATACAATTGCAAGGCCCCCTCTATCATCTTGGAAAGATGATTGCAGTCAGGGGAGACAAATGAAAATGCCAACATCACACTCATTTTAATGAAAGGGAGGCTGGAACACCCAGGGAACTACAGGTCTAGCAGTCTAAATTCATATCCCAGGAAGATTATGGAGCTTGTCTTCCTGAAAGCCATGTCCAAGCACATAAGGGATGGGAAGGTGACTGGGAAAGCCATTATAGATGCTGATTGCATCCAACAACTCTGACCACCTTTGGTGGTGAGATGATGGGCTCTGTGTATGAATGGAGTACAGTGGATGTTGCTTACATGGGTGATAGCACAACCCTCCACAGTCTGCCACTGAGTCCTTCCAGACAAATGGGTAAGAAACAGACTGAATAGGTGGACTACAGCTTCAGTGGAAAATCTGCTGTAGTGCCAAGTTCACGGAGTGGTGAAACAGTGAGCAGTACAAAATCCAGTTGTCAGGTAGTTAGTTACCAGCAGTGTTCTTGAGGGCCAATGCCAAGACCTATAATATTCAAGATATGAATGACCTGGTTGATGGGATAGAATGCACTCCTTCCAAGTTCACAGACAAGAGCCCGGTAGCGAGGGAAACTGCTGACAGGCCAAGGAGTAGGGCAGTGAGTCTGGACAGGCCATTGGAAAAAGAGAGAAGAACTGACAAAAAACTACAAGCTCATGAAAGGCAAATTGCTGAACCTGGGACATGACACACTTACACAGCATTACAGTATAGGCCCCAGATGGTTGGAAAGCAGCTTTGCAAAAACAAACCTGGGTGTCCTGGTGGACACAAAATAGAACATGAGTCAGCAGAGTGCTCCCACAGTGAAGTGTGCCATCCATATATTGGGCCACATTAACAGCATGTATTGAGCCATATAAGCAAGAGCATAGCCAGCAGGTCAATGAAAGAGATTAATCCCCTCTCTCTGGCAATTGTGAGACAGGATCTGGAGTGCTGTGTCCAGTTTTAAAGACATGGAGTGAGAGCAGTGGAGTGCAGCCCAGATGGCCAGAGGATGCTGGAGCGGTGATGGAGAGGCTGCAGGAGCTGGGTGTGATCAGCCCTAGGAACAGAAGGCCCCCAGGGGATCTGACTCTTGTCTTTGGCTACCTAATGGAAGGCAACACAGAAGAGAGAGCCAGACGCTTCTCAGAGGCATGTGCTAAAGAAAGAAGGAAAACAAGCATGAGTTGCAATAAGGGAAATTTTTTCACCGTGAGGGTGGTAAGTCCCTGGAGCAGGTTGCCCAGGGAGGCTGGAAAATCTTCCAGCTTGGAAATGTTCAAAGCTTGACTGGACATGGCCCTGCTCTAGCTGATCTTGCTTTGGACATGAGGCTGGACCTGACGGTGTCTAGAGGTCTCTTACTACCTCAATGGTACTGTGATTCCGAATGTCCTTGCAGGGAATGGAGGAGAAGAAGAAAACAATACTGGAATTTTCATCAAACTATATCCCAGGTGTCACCCTTGATGTTCTAGGATGAAGCACCAGCAGGGCTTTTGCTTCCATATATCTGGGCATGCAGACTATAGCAATTTTAAGGAGTAAAACCAGATAAGCTCTCCAGGTCTGAAGGTGTTACTGGATGAAAACTGTGAGGAACACAATGGAAAACAGATAATTAAACAGAAAGAAGCAAATATTTGAAAACATTTCCTCTTCTTAGCAGAGACTTTACCCATGACAAATAATTGGCAGTGGTTTTTTTCTTATATATTTGAATCCTAATTACTAAAAATAGTATTTCCAAAATTGAAATAAATAATCCTATATGATCCTTTTAAATGCTGTTAAACTAACAGCTTATGCCAAATGCAAAAATAGAGCATCCTCTGGGGCTTTTTTATTCAAACACTGCTTTCAGAATTCAGGCTAATGTTGATGTTTAGATTCAGATGAACTGAAAACAAACAACAGCAAAAGCCTAGAAAGAATAGTTTAGAATGTTTTCATAAAGGAATAAATTAAAAGAATAGAAGCAAAAAGGTCAGACATGGTTTATTCTCTCACTTCATCCGTTCTCCACTACTCCTGTCATACAAAGCACAGCAGAGAGCCTGACAGGATACTTGGAGATTTTCCAGGTGACATCAAAATATTGGTTGTACACCACATTCCTCAAGACCCTGCCAATACAAACTATCTCAGGAGGAAAAATAGAACAAGTTGCCAAGGGAAAACGTTTTGTTTGGGTTTTTAATTTCTACAAGCACCAGTGACAGACCAAAGGATATACTACTGTACCTTCAGTTTTGCCCCATTACTATAAACATTCCACATTATATCTAAACATAAACGTCATGCCAAAGATTACTTCTACAAGTGCTGGGGTTTTTTTTCCAGTATGTGCATGAAATATCTTCATTTAGAACACAAAGCTTCATGCATCTAATGACTGCCCTATAGTTAGGTCCCTTAATTTAGCTGACACAGCAGCACCCAAAAACACCCAAAAGCACCCAAAAAGTCTGCTCCCACTGAGGGCAACAGGAGTTCTGCAGTAGTCTCTAATGGTCAGCCAGAGCCATGTTCAAAACTGGCACAAACCACTCTGAACACTCACGAAGAGAGGATGCAGAGGAAGTCCCACGAAGAAACATCTGCAAGCCATCCTCGCTGTCACTGGTACTGGCCATGCTGTTCCTCATCTGCATCACAGAGAGCTGAGAGCAAAGGCTGGGCTGTCGATCAATCTTCTTTGAAGCCTAAAAAAGAAAAAAAAAAAATTACTTTAAAAAAAGATATCAAGCAAATTAAAATAAAAATGGAAAATTACTACTTCCCTTGTAATAGACACTCTGGTCTCAGCCATGATTACACAAGAAAATTGTTATAGAAGAAGATTCTATGCAGTGTAAATCAATTTAAATGACAATAGAAAATGCCAGTAATATACTGGAATTGGAACATTGACAAGTATGAAACTGCACATTAATTATTCAATTTCAAATCGCTTTTGTACTGAAATTTTCATGTATTTTCTTACAGAAAGCTTGGGGTTTATTATCCGGTAATTCATTATTTAAACATGATGCTCTGCAATTAAATGCAGTCTTTATGATGAAGCTGGTCCTCCTTGCTAAACAAAACAACATGCTATATATAGAGGCAATTTATACCTTAACAGAAACATGTTCATTTTCCTGGCTTTTCATTCCATCCTGTTAGAAAAGTGGTGAATGTCATTCCTGCCCATTGGGTTTTGGTTTTACTGCAGAGTAAATGCATCAGGTGAACATTATCTTCTCCCTGTCAAATGGTCTGAGGAGCTTTCACTTTGCTTTGAGTAGCCTTCCTGAGAAGGCTTTATACTATAACACTTATATGAAGGCATACATTGTACCTTGTTAGGCATTACTGCAAGTCAAAATGCTATTTTAGGTATATGTGAAAGGTAGCAATCAATGACAGGACTATAATGGATAACTCCACTTCACTGAATTTTAAAAGGCAGGAACTAGTACCCTATTTCATGCAGAAAGGAATGACTATTTTCCCAACACTAGTGAAAGCCCACTTAGGTAGGAGAAAATCACAAGTCTTCTTACAAAATAAATTATTACTTTTCTGTTTTCCAACAAAAAATTGATAGTTTTACCTTCTTACTACCATCTTGAATATGAATAATCAGTACTCAATTAATTTTTGTAGTCCTCCAGGTACAGAAGTCAACCACAACATTTTCTGATGACATTGACACCCATTAGAAGTCATCAAAGACACCAATAATATTTATATTTGGAAGTGAAGCTTGTGAGAGGTGATATGCACATAGAGTACTGGCAATGGGAAAATCAAGAATTTTTTTGACAGTTCTCATGCCAAGTTATGCAGGAAGAGCTCATGCAACAGGATTTTTATTTTAGGAATAATAAGAAGATACTACAAATTTCCCACTTGCTCACTCAAAAATTGCTCACTCAATTTTTACAACATACAGTTTCAAAACATACTATAAAAACCAGCTACAATAATCTTAAATTTATGTGACTACTGCAACTGAAAACAAAGACTTGGTACAAACTGAAGTTAAAGTGTGCAGATGTTAAGTCAAAGGAGGGGCAAAATCTGTTGGATTTTTTAATTCTTTGAAATTGTGATAAGGAATAAATAAAGAGACAAAATGAAACTAAACCAAGATAGTTCATACACCCATGAGTACACCCAGACCATTTGCCAGGACACCTAAAACTTCATCTACAGGCAATAAATGAGTTATATTCAGACCACTTAATGTTTAATATGTAATTATATTTATTTCTGTTTTATATGTATTTCATAGGCATTCAGTGGATTCATTACACTAACTGCCTCATATCAACATAATGTTTGCTTTTTTCTTGCATTTGCAACCCTCAAAGACACATTAATATTATTCTTCCCAGCAATCAGTATTACATAACTGTTTGCCCCCTGTAAGAATTTTTTTTTTTAAGAAAAAAACTGTGAAGCTTCTTTTTACAAAAGCATTCATTTGTTAGTGAGAAAGGATATCCAGTGAGAAACATCTTCTTAACCACCGGACAGCATGTCTAATAGTTAGCTAGAAATATTTCCACAAGCTGATTAGTTCTGAATCTCAGTTATTCATCTTCCTTGTGCATTACTGTGCTAACTTTAACAAATATTGCTGCTGACAGAAATCTTGCACTGACTCACACCTTGACACTAACAGGCCACAAGTGTGCATTCAGCAGCTGATGGCCAGCAGGTTAAAATATGGTACTTTAAGAGCATTTAAAATTAAAGTAAAAACACATTTATTTGTATGTCGGAGGAAAACTCCCAAACAGAACTTAAAGTTGCTTACCTTGTCATTTAAGGTTGGGTCATTCAATGAATAAAGTTTATTTGTAATATCTTTGCCAATAAGGTACTTAAAGATCTCATAAAGAAATGGCTCAGACTCCAGAAAGTAAGTCAGCCTTTCCCTGGACCAGCACAGGAACTTGCAGTTATCATCTGCTATAATGGTGACCTGAAAAAAAATACATGCTCAGAATTAGCACATTTAAAAATGTTTTAAGATGAGCACACTTAAATAAGCTTTAAAAGAAGTGATATCATTTTATTTGTGACTCCAGTTAAAATAACTCTTAAAGCCATAAAGCTTTTTGGTATCCCTTTGTTATGAATGTGATGTTTACAAATGCAAAAATTCTCAGCTATTTATTATCATTATATTTTTAACTGATATGTGTAGCCAGTTTGTTTTACAGAAAAACTGGGGGACAATAAACAGGGGAAAGTCCCTCTTGAGTTCCCAAACTGTAACACATTTATGTAAAAGGAAATTTATATGTGAAGTCAGTCCTAAGGCAATGGCAAGTACTTGCAGTAGGCCTATACATGGCTTGGTTTTATTTTACATCACTGTCACCAAATAGGAACAACTGGTATCACCCAAAGGTCTGCATCAAAGAGTTTTTAGTGATATACAAAAAAAAAAATAAAAAAATTGCCATCTTCCTCTTAACTGTCAGCCCTGCTGATCCCACAGGTACAACCTTGTGTTGAGTTGAGCCAAGATTGTTTGCTCAGTTATTGATAATCCAGTTTTGGGTAGTTGAAGGGGATCTTGCCCCCTCTCATGGGAGAGGATGGACTTGCCAGGTTCATGTCCCCTGTTCCAGCAGAGGGCAATGCCACACCAAAACCCACACTGGTCATACCCACGGGCAGGTTTTTCAAGGGGGAGTCAGGCATCTATGAATAAATCAAAATCAGGTGCTCTCTGCTTATACAAGATAACATTACATCCTGGAAAAAAAAAAAATTAAAAATCCATTAAGTCATAGAAACTATGGAAAAATGTCATATATCCATGGATTTTTAACTCCACAGACTGTAACATAAGCCCAGAGAGGCTGAGGAAGAATTTGCCAGCATTGCCAGCAGATGGGGTCCTTAAGACTGAATCCGTGCGCTGTTGAAACAGGGAGGCTGCCGGCACTCACATGGCAGTAACAAGCAGAACACACGAATAAAGGATGTACACCGCTCCAGATTAAATAACTTCTAAGGCAGGCAGAAGCTGAGGCATGACCCTTTTCCCTTGAGAGGGACTGACTCCTATCCAGTTGCTTCCAGGGGAAAGGGGCTGTGCCAAGAGGGCAGCCAGGCTGTGGGAGGCCTCACTGCTGCAAAGTGAATGCATCTGGACAAGTCTCTCCCCCTGGCTCTAAGCCCAATGTTTGACTGGAACATATGACATCAATCACTGATTTTAGAGTCTGCACTGCTCTGCCTCCCTCCCCTTCTGCCACAGTATCAGTGTGGATGTATCAGTCACAGTCCAGTCATTATTACACATACCTAGCTAAAGAACATCAAGTAAGAGTAGCAAAATAGCCATTTCTATGGGGAAAAACACCCTTCTCTAAAAGTATCCCACCCACTCCATAACTATAATAAAATATATTTAGCATACCAGCATAATTACACTGCTAGAGAAATACACCCTTATTGTTCCCCATATGAATATTTTTATTCAAAATACTGAGATAATTTTCAGCTCATCTTGCTTTAACAAAATTGCAAAATGACAGAAGTATTAATACACTTTTATAAATACCAATTTCTAATTACTAGTGCCTGAACTTCTAGACTTTCATTATTACAGTAGTTCTTTTTCCCTTTTCTCTTTTTGAACCAGTGATGAGACCTGTTCAAATCATCTTTTTCCATCAAAACTGCCTCTTAAATTATTTGTCCTGAACAAAGTCTTAACACAAAAGAAACTTGGAAACAGTAAAAGAGAACAGAAAAAGCCAGACTGCCCAATACACACCATTCTAATACTGTTTTTCAGCATTTAAAAGTTATTCTTGATATGGTCCATCTTCAAACACTGATACTAGAAGGATAACAAAATAATGCAAGTCAAATAGCTCACTGTTGATCAAATTTATACTCTATTTTTATAAAGGTCTCACCAGCTCATATCCAATGGCATTTAAAACAAAGTGTACCTGGAATTTCTCACCCCGGTTCATCTGTGTCGACCGAAATTCAGGAGAATCTATAAAGGCACAGGGGTAAATATTATGCAGAAAATGGCCTCGATAAGACACCTTCATTCTGGAAATAAAAATGTATGAAACAACATTTTAAAATCGTGGAGGCTGATTAATTCAATCAAAATTTAGGTAGGACTATTGTCAATGGTAAAGCAGTGGATAACAGGAATAAATATGTGCATCTTCTGGAGCAGAACTCCCAGAGCTACCCTGTTTTCTGCCTAACTGCTTCCAAGCAGAACAGGCTGCCAGACAAATAGAGACAAATAGAGAATTGATGAACATGGCATGTATCCACCAAACACTGTTATTCAGTAGGAGAAAGGTCGTGTTACACAGCCAGACCAGAATCAGGATTCCCTTAGATAAGTAGCTTTGTGGTAATGAGTAAGAAAAACAGTGAAGCCTGACATCTCTGTTGCTGTCAACAGAAACTGGTTAAAATATTGGCCAGAGTTGAGCATGAGTTTCAAGATTACAGCCTGGCTGTGGGCATATATTTTACCCTTTTTCACCTGGATTCTGTCTGCCTCTGGGCAGTGCATCTGCCCCTCTATACTTGTAGGTACAAGTACAATGAATCAGTTCCAAAGGCCTGCTGTTTTAAAGCTGACTGGAGAGATACTTCTTCCCTCATGAACCATATTTTTTAACCTTTAAACCTGAGAACAGACTGAGGAGACAATTAGGGTACCTAAGCCTCAAATAGCTTGCTTATTTTGCAAGACACTGCCTTTGGTATTACACAAACAGAATTCCCACTAAAACCCATGCAGCTGCACATGTAAGAGGATACACAATCTGTCACCTGAAAATGGTGTCACAAAACAGTCTTTAAGTATAGACTATTTGACTACAGACCATAACATACTACAAACAGTTGCAACCTCAACCATTCTGTAATTTATTCAATCATGACACAAAGCATACAACTGTCCCTAAGTTTTTATAGAACCTACTTCCCCTTCAGCAGGATGCTTAGCCTATCATCAACTGATGTTTTATCTTCTGCTGCATAGGCTTGACCTGTCTTCAGAGTCTGAATGTTGCAGAATTGTCCAGTTAGTCTTTGGAAGAGCTCTGGAGGCACATGGAGAGGTTCAAACATTCTCTTGTAGAGGCTGCTAAGCTCCTTCTCTATCTTGATCTAGATTGGAAAAAACAAGAGATATCAACAACCACAGATGCATTAGTTAAAAACAGGTAAGACTGCACACATGCCAGAGGGACATCTTTGGCTTCATGATACTTAAGCAAGGAAAGAAGTGGTAAATGTGTGATGTCTATCCACAAACACTGCCTATGACAGCGTGACCAAAACCTTATCTAAAATTAGCCAGGATGGCACACTGGTGCTTTAGAATGCTGTTACATCCAAGTGGCACATTACATCTCACACAAGGAGTCTTCTGAGATGTCTCTTGATGAAACAGTGAATAGTACTTGAGCAAGAATTATATAGGAAAAGAAAAAAAAAAAAGAGGTTGTCTTTCACACTGCATGCACGCATCACTGTGGCTAGCTGTGGCTCTCCTGGGAGCCACTCTCATCCCTGAGCTTCTTGGCTTACTTGCAGTAGAAAAGCAAGTCCTGAAAAACAAACCAATTATATTGAAACCACATGTGATGAGGGAGGGAAAAAAAAAAACCCCAAAAAACATTGCCAGCTGAACATCCCACATCTAAGAGCCCACCCAAACTCAGGCAGCAGCAATGAGGGAAAGGATGTTGGCTGAAATCCTAAGCCTGGAAGCCTTCCCTGGATGAAGGAAGCAGGGGATGAGACAATATTACAGCCTTCCTGAAAGCAGAGGCAGCCTGAATAAAGCCTGCATATTTGCCATGAGGAAGACAAATTAGAACAATAAGCATCAGATAATAAAAAAAAAATAAAAATAAAAAAAATATACATAGAAGAGAGAAAAAGGAAAAACAACCAAGAAAGAATGGCAGAAAAGAAGACAAAGAGGCAAGTTTCTGTTCAACTCTTCCTCCAGAACCTACAGGTCCTTTTCTACAAAGCTGCCTTCCAGCTGGTCAGTAGGTGGCATGTGCTGATGCATGGGGTTATTCCTCCCCTGGTGCAGTACTCCACAACATTTCCTGTTGAATTCCATGAGGTTCCTGTTGGTCCATTTCTCCAGCCTGCTGAGGCCCCTCCAGATGGTTTCCCAACCTCCTGCCCTATCAGCCACTCCTCACAATTTTGTGTCATCAGGGTTCACACGTGCCCCACCACTCAGATCATGAATGAAGATGTCAAACAGCACTGGACTAGCACTGGCCCCAAGGTTACATACCACACACTAGCGAATGTGTAGCGCACAGCTCCAGCTGGACTTCTTAACCTCTGATTATCACACTCAGAGCCCTGCCATTCAGCCAGATTTCAATCCATAGTGTCCTCATCCAGGCCACACTTCAACAGATTCTCTATCAGGATTTTATACAAGACAGTGTTAAAAACCCTACAGAAATTAAGGTTGAGGATATTCACCATTCTCAGCTATCTGGCCAATCATTTCATCATGGAAGGTTATCATAGAATGGCTTGGGTTGAAAGGGACCTTAAAGATCACCCATTTCCACCCCCTCTGCCATGGGCAGGGACATCTTGTATGATACCAGATAGCATCAGAGTTTCAGCCATGAACACTTCTAGGGACTGTGTGTGTGCAGCTTCTCTGGGAAACCTATTCCAGTGCTTCACCCCCTTCAGTAAAGAATTTCTTCCTAATATCTAACCTAAACCTACTCTCAGTTTGAAACCATGCCCCCTTATCCTGTCACTAGATGCCCTTGTAAAATGTCCCTCTCCATTCTTGTACTTTTCCTTCCCAGTACTGGAAGCCTGTAATCTGGCCACCCCAAAGCCTTCTCTTTTCCAGGCTGAACAACCCAAATTCTCCCAGCCTTTCCTCATAGAGCAACTCTTCTGTCTCTGTTCTCGAGACCCCAGAGCACTCCAGGTGGGATCTCATCAGAGCAGTCACTTCTCTCACCCTGCTAGCCACACTGCTTTTGATGCAGCTCAGGATAGAACTGGATTTCTGTGGCTGTGAGTGCACATTGCCAGGTCATGTCCAGCCTCTCATTCACAGCCAAGTCCTTCTCTGTAGGGCTGCTCTCAATCTCAGCTTGGTGTCATCTGTAAACTTGTTAAGGGTACACTCAATCCCTTTGTCTGTGTCATTAATGAAGACAGTAAATAGCATCAGTCCCAATACAGACCCAAAAAGGACATCACTTGTCCCTGAAGGACTCTGAACCTTTGGCCATTACCCTCTGGAGGTGACCATTCAATCCTGTTTCTTATCCATCTATTATCAGGTTGGTTAAGCATGACTTCCCCTTGGTAAATACTTGCTGACCAATCTTCATTACCTTCTTATGCTTCATGCGCATAGAAATGTTTTCCAGGACTATCTATTCCTTCTTTTCAGACATCAAGATGAGGCTGACCAGGCTGCAGGTCCCTGGGTTCTCCTTTCTGAAGAAAGGAGTGGTGTTTGTGTTGTCTGCTTCTCACACACTTCTCTCAGTCATCATCCCTTATTCCAAGACTATCAGGATTGCCCTTGCAGTGACATCAGCTCTTGCGGCTGTGTGACATCAGGACTTGTGGATTTCCTACGTCTAGTGCATCACCTGACCTAAAGTTACACTGGTTTCACACTGAATCAATCACTAGTTAAATATTCCACAGGTAACTGCACTCATGTGAAATCCAGGTTTTGAATTTCCTGTATGCTCCTTATGCCACAATCTTTAATCCCTCAGAGGGCATCTACATAGGCAAAACAAGGATTAAAAACAAACATACAATTTCTCTTGAATTTTGTTATGGATTTTCCTGAGCTGTTTGATTTAAAAATACATTCCATATGCCCACAAAGCTAGATGACTGTTTTACCAATCATGTTCTCTAGGAACTCTTTCATTTTTAACAGCTGTACCAATTTAATTTGCACCTCTTCCTATACATGACCACTGCAACTTAAAGAAATATGTTTTCATCTGAAAAAAAAAGAATTTACATAGCTCCCAAGACTCCTGAAACCCAAACCCAGGCACACAGACATAAAGGCATATTTTGGCCCTGGAGTGTTAATCCAGCCACTCAACTAGCACATGGTTCACATCTCATGATCTTCCTCTAGTGTGCAATACTTTGAGGGGAAGGCAGGTGTAGCCACTTTCTCAAAGACTGATCAGATTGCAGGCTGTAGCTGTGCTTTAGATGGGCTCCTTTATAACAGACCTTTCCCCCTTCCCAAGCACAGCTCACTGTTCCTCCAGTCATGCTTGTGGGTCATATTCCAAACAAGCCATATGGGTAGGTGTAATGTTTTGTTCAGCAGGGGTTGAAATATTCTGGGATGCTGCCAGAACTCCGAGTCAGACTGATTAGACTCAGCTTCCACTCTGACTGAAAAAAGCCAAATTTGTAAAGCACCAAGGAATCAAAACCACTGAAATAATCTTCTGGTAAGAAAAGAAACTCACTGTGATTTTGCATGCTTCATTTAATAAAATAAATATTTAACAACTGAACATATCAATTATTCATTTTGTAATATGACTAACTTGTAATTATTCTGCCATTCCTTTCTTTCCTAGGAAAGATCTTTTGTGAGAATTACCAAAACTGATTGAGATGGGCAATACAATAGCTGCAGAGAGAAAATTTCATTCAAAAATTAGCTCCTAAGAGTCTTAAATTTTTTTCCCTATTCTTTGTCCTCCTGTAGGAAAAACACTTAAAACAGCTTTGGGGTTCATAAAAAACATGTTAGACAGATCAAAAGACATCTATCTAAGAGACTATCAGGCATCACTTCAAGTATGCCCGTTGATCATGGTTTGTAACAAAGATTCTTATTTTTTTTAACGATTACTGAAAATATTATGTATTACAGCAATTAACACAATATTTTTCATGCAATGTTCATAAATACTGTACTTTCTCAGTGGAAAGAAGACTATTGAAATTAAGCCTTAATGTGCAAAGAAACAGCACTACCTGGCTAGCCTAACAGATCTAATTTTTGGCTAAGCTTTTAAGCTGCACAGGTCATATAGCACAGTTGATGGTAATCTTTGGGTGAATCGGTGCTCCCTATTGGAGGAACACTGCTGTAGGTAGAGCCTCTTCCTTTTTTAACACATGTGCTCAATTTATCAACTTGTTGTAGACAGATGCAGTTTAACCTTTAGCCTCCTTTTATAAGGCTGTGGTTGCCAGCCAGAATGTGAGCAGTGCAGAGTTCATGGGAGTGCCAAGCTCCTAGGCTCTCTGCTGGTTACACTGACTGTGGGCAAGGGCTACAGAAAGAGAATCCAAAGTTAAAGGCAGGTGCTCCAGGCCTCCCTCTCTTAGATGAAATTTTTTACCAACTTTGGATACTGAGTTTATCAGTCAAGTTTCATGTTCTTACACAATTCCTTCTTTTTGTATCCACCTACAGAGTACTTCAATCACTTCTACCACTTAACCTAACTCCTACAAATAATTCTGCTAACAAATTTACTAGAGGATTTAGTGAAAATAGCTGCCTCTTCAAAAGGATAAAATCTATAATGTACGAAGTACCCCAATCTATGCCAACACAGATTTTAGTAGACAACTGTAATTACAAAAGAATGTATTTCTTTCTTCATTCAGTATTGATTTACACTTTTCACTCACTGATAACCTTCTATTTAGATTTTTGGAAAGGGTTGGATGGGTACAAACTCAAGGACCATTACCTATGTTTATTCACTTTTAAAATACAGGTAAATTTAAAAGCTTGGTTTCCCAGGGAAATGTGTTTCTATCAGCTGAGCGCTCCTGCCTTTTGCAGTAATTTCTGACTTTGGTGGCCATTTCCTGAGCCATCTGACAGAAGATTAGAAGCCTCAAGATTTATTAAAGGTAATAATTTAATTGGTAGTGGTGGGAGAGGGTGATTTGAAGGGAAACAGAACATGCTAATTTGGTTGGACTGAAAAAAACGCAGATGAGTTGATCCCATATTAGAAACCAGAGTACCTGCATGGGATATTTAACTGTGGACACCTAGAGAGTAGGTAGAGTCAGGCCTCACTAGCTCTCTGTTATCACAACTGCTATTTGTGTGTGTGCTGGACAGCATGGCCATGGCTACCCAGCAGAAATACAACGCAGTTTCATCATGTGCTGCATCTCCGTGGCGACATGAATGATTGAACAGGAGGAAAAAACAGCATTAGTAATACTGACTAAAGAGGAAGTTACCCTTTAAGTAGTCAGGTGATTCTTCAAGAGCAGTGAGAACTAGAAATATTTACTACACATCTACAATTGTCTAGTAACAGTCTAGTTAGTTATAAGCTACTTCCTAGGCAAGACAGAAGTCAAGTTTTATGCTGCCTTGCCAGCTGATTTCTTAGCTGCTTTCTTGCACAGGTGGTGTTGAATTGTTGAAGAGCTTATTTCCAGTTAGGTTTTGTTTTTTCTGGTTTTTTTTTTTGGTACAAGTTGTTTGCACACTTCCACTGTGATTTTGGGCCAAACACAAAAGTATTCTACTCAAAATGTACTAACCCATTGATTTTTCTCACAAAACATGGGCAAAACTTCCTTTTCTTGTGTCTAACTAGGCTGCTTTTGAGATTTAGCTGTTATACATACCGGTCTTCTTTTATACACTAGGTATATGAAATGCAAAAGGTTGACAACCAAAAACACAGAATTCCAGATCATTATGTCCAAGGCACAACGATAGAGTGTTGCCCAAATGATGAATAATGCACATCCTGTTAAAAAAAAAAAAAAAAGACGAAGTTAAGTTTCACCAAATAATAAACACTCCTAGAAAACTACCAAGAATGTGTCCACTGAGTATAATTACACTGAAAAGCAATATATTCTACAGACTTTAATACAGCTAAGCTCTCTGGATGAAGGTATGCAACAATAGCTTATCACTACAATGCTGCAAACAGGCACTGAGGGCAGGTTGACTGACTGCAGCCCTATTACATGGGACTGCAATACTGAAATGACAGTAATTCACATCAGGATGGGGCAAGCAGGAAGGTGCAGTCCATGAGAATTCGTTAGTGAAACAAAGTAGAAAAGAGATGGGGGGAAATTAGGCAGCTCACAAAAATTTGCGTTGCATTAATTAGACAAAAAAAGGCCTAGATATGAATGTTCATGTCTAATTAGCAAGGAAGAGTTGAATAAAAACTTCCTAAAGTCATATGCAGATACTTTTGAAAATTAAAAGGAACTATTATTGCTGATGTGACAAGGTCACATTGGGAACCTGAATTCTCCTGTGTAACATCAAAGACAAAATTTCCCAATGCTTACTCTTTTTTTTTAGTTGTCTTACTTTGAATAATGACACTTGCTTTAAAAGATAAGGCATCATGTATGATTAGGGATTCCATTTCCAGCCTACAAAGACAGTATTTATCAAATGATGGATTACGTATTAGTGAGTCTCTCCCAGATAACTGTGAGCCTACCATCCAACAGAGATGGCTGGAGAGGTCACAGATGTAGTTCCCCTTAAGTTTGCTGCAAAGACAAAAAGGAGACAGTGCTAAATGAGTCTTCTTACCCCCTTTCTCCCTGAAGATGACTTCAGCTTAATGAACTTGGTACTATCTGGTCTGTCTGGGCTCTTAACTGATGAGGCAGCACTTACATATGGATTAGAAAAATCAAAATATAGTGAATCTGGATCAGCTTATTAGGTAGGCTGCAAGGCACAGCAGGATACAATGTCTGGATGTATTGAAGAGCAGCAATACTGCAGAGCAGCACAGAGGTGGGGCAGGGCCAAAGCAAAGGGAACAGGTCCCTTGGCTTCACTATTTGCTCTGCCCACTGAGTAAATCATCTTCCTGCTGCCACTCCAGCCTGCAAAACTCTGGTTCCCTATCTGCTCAAAATACTACAGATCAAAATGGCAGGCTTGGCAAGTGCAGACCTCCTTTTGCTTTTAAAGCCACGATAAAAGGTCTTGCAATGCTCAGACCCTTGGTCACCAGTGCAGTCTGTTTTAAGAAGTTACCCTATAATAACTATAAAATAGAAAATGCAAGACCATTGTAAATTCAAACAGTTCTATCATAAAATTGACCCATACTATAATGACAATAAGCACTCATTTAAAAATACTTAAGCATGCACTTGTTGGGCTGGATTTATCCTTCTTACACTGCAATGAGTCATTATTCCTCCTTTGATCACAAGGATCTTGTCCCACACAAGGTACAGAGGCTTTGAAGTAGCTGTGGGACTGCAATGTTACAAATCAAACCACATTTGCTCAGTCTCAAGCATGCCAAATTTAGGTTTTCCTCTCAAGTCAGACTCTGGTGTCACAAGATTCGTACAGTGGTAGAAGAAACACGACTGATATCAGAACACAGAATACACTCCCCATTGAAAAGCTGCACTTCTAAATCAGCAATGAAAATAATGCTGGTGACCCACAAGTGCCACATGTTTGAACCCACACTATAAGAACACATGGGCTCACAGCAAGCTTCTCAAGGAAAACCTCACCTGTGCAAGTACACAGTCCCAGTACTTACTTGAAATCTAAAATAGAGGTCTTAAGGATCAGACATAAATGATTGGAAATAAGTGGATTTAAAACATCCAGTTACATCTTATGTAAATGATGTCCACTTGTTTTCAAGCAGACATCTTCATAGGTTTGAAATTACAAATTACAGTTCCAGGTGGTTTTAATAGCCAATGGTTATATAATCTTTCTAGAAAAGGTATATCAAGGTCGAAACAGATCCTGTCTTAAACCAAAACCACTGCCATAAGAGCAAAACAGCCATTAATAAAGGCAGTAATTTCACCACAAGCTGCAGGGAGCAGCTCCATAATGGTCAAACCCAGCCATTTCTGTCACATTTCTGTTTGAAGAACAATTCTCCTACCTACAGTGAGCAGGCCCCGCAGAAGAATCATATGAAGATTCAAAGTAGTTGGAATGACCAGTCCAACTGCAAAGCAAATGTTTGCCACGTGGAAAACAAGATGATGAATCTCTTTCCAGTTTTCACATGCAGTCTCATTGAGAGGATCAAGAGTGGAATTTTTGAAGTCTGGAACAAAACCTAGTGGAGTAACGGTGAGTGGGCTCATTGCTGTAGTATTCATCTTGGAGACTCCTGCAAGGAGAGAAGAAAAAAATTCACTATGCATTAAACTGAAACACAGTAGAAATAATAATGCATTTTAGGATTATTTTCTCTCTTCTCCAGATATATTTTCCATTATCATTAATAAATATATATATATAAATATAAATGCTTTAAAAGGGTAAGCTAGGTCTACAGTTCAGTAGTGCTTTGCTATCTCTTTCACCAAAATCATAGTTACCAAAACAGAGACTGCTAAGTCTGCAGCCAGGCATTTAGGGAAATCACTTGGTCTACACAGTTTGAACAAGCTTGCAAGACTGTGTGTGGAACTCCTGGAGAAAATGAGACAGCTAAAGACTATTTCTAATCTAAATATACATAGGATGTTTTTGTTGTTGCAGTAATAAATATAGCACATATACCTTTTGCCTCGATTGAATGGAAAAAGATATCTGTGGGCAAATCCCAGCGTGAAACAAAAAATTACTATTAAAAACAAGCTACAGGGAGAAACTGGAAGATTTCAAGATATTATCTTTAGAATATCAAAAGCTGGTCTCTCCAGGTAACTGCAGTCAGTGTTACAAGCTCTACAAAGTCTTCTCAACCCAGACCAGGTCTCAGCTGAAGGAACACGACTGCTCCTAGACATGTCTGCTGCCAAGCACAGGAGAGCCCTGATTCCAGCAAGGCATGTATGGTCTGCCACAGCAGTAGAAATTATATGGACGTGGGCTTGAGTCTCATTAATGAGCTATATGCAGTTCATCATTGAGCAAACAAGCTCCATAACATACAGTGAAGCGGAATTTGCATTCAATTAAATTCTGTAGAGACAGTGAACGTCCCTGGTGTAGTGTGTCATCACTAACTGCCATGTAATTCATCTGCTCAGTAGATGATTTTGGGTCACAGTTAATACACTCTATTTCCTGCAGACTTGATATATACTCTGAAGCATCCCTGTTAATTGAGTGTTTCTTGGCCTGTGAAATAAATTTGAGTTGCTTCATCCCTCCCTTTTATTATTTTCTCATGATTAACCTGTGTATAGAACGTAAGCAAACTGGACAGTTTTCAAAATTAATCAGTGTTTTAGACCCCTTCTGAAAGCAGTGGCAAGAAAGAAATCCTCAGCCCTGAAAGCAGTGGGAAGAAAGAAATCCTCAGCCCTCTCTTACAGTTCATCTCCTATGCCCAGAGCCTGTCAGCTAAGGTATGCTACAGAATGTGCAGAGGCATCCTGCAGGATCAAACACTAGCACAGATGTAATATATCTACATCTAGATTGAAAAGATTTTCAAGGAAAAAAATTATCTAATCCTAAATATCTAATCAAAAATACACAATTTGCTTATTTCTTAAGCTATCACTTTCCTCTTTTCATTCCTACATTAGGTATTCACAAAGATGAATTGAAATGGGGAGGTTTGTCGTAAACTCCACACTTAACTGTCAGCAAACATCAGGCCTATCCAAACACACTCCTGCTTTCTTTCAGCTCTTTGACATGAGTTCATCGAGAGCCATTAGAGCAGTTTCACTGTCCTGACAAAGGCACTCACACAGTGAGCCAGAGCCTGAGCCCGTGCGAGGCTGCAGGACTGGCATTTTAACGCGCTCATAAACAGGAGGGAATTGCTAACTGGATAACTATGTCTGTGCTCATCTTACACACAGCTCATCTGGTGCTCCTGTTGTTTCCAAACAACATAAACTCCTTACACTGGAACAGCAGGATCTCTAGATCTTTTTTAAAAAAATAATTGCCTGAGTTTCTACCTATATTCAGCCTTTCACTGCCCAGTCACCTGCCAGTAAAGGCACCACTTAAAATGCCAAAAGAACAAGTAAAGACAGCCAAACTCACACACAGATACGGAACCAGCTATTAAGTCCTTCAACTCAACATCAAAAGAGGCTGCAAGAAGCAATTTCAGCTGCATCTGATCACAGGTCAAAGCAGCCTTCCAGATGCTTGATATTTTTTATTAGCAAAATTTTGTACTGCTCAAATGTGGGAATAGAGGCTGCCTTCCCATTTCGACTCAGCTCTAAAGCATCATACATTAGAAGACCAGAAACCCAGTGAACCAATGAATTAAATATACAGCACCTGACAATCTCATTCTCCTCACAGCCCAGCCAAAACACTGCTCCCCTTGCTCTTCACAGACACTGACACAACAAATCACCAGCCATAAACAGAAATAATGGGAAGGGGTTTCTCCAAGTGTTGATAAAGCAATTTAAAGCTTCTGCAGTTGTAAGAGGTTGTTCAATGCTTTTGAAGGTCAGGCTTACCTACTAGATTGCCTAAATTAAAACCCAGGAATCTGCCCACCTCCAGTTTTTATCAGCTTTACTATCTCAAAGTCTTTATAGGAATACCTTTGAACTTCACTTACTACTTACAAACAATAATTACAGCTTCCCTAATATACTGGAAACAGCTGAAATGGGGAACTTCTCCATCACGGTGGTATTTAATAGCTGACAGAAATAGATTGATGCTATCTGCAAAATGACACAAGGACAGACTTAGACACGAGCTCTGAATTTCAACTAAGGAGACTGCTTTGAGGATCAGGAGAAAAGGCAGACAGACAGAGCTACAAGCTGTAACATAAAGTGTTTGTCTACAGGTAACACAAGAAAGACAAATATCTAAAATGTCAAAAAACAACAACAATGTAATTTTTTTAGATTAATTCTTTAGTCCTAGAATCTACTGTGGACAAATAATACTGAAGAAGGAGGGGAAAATCTGCAGTTCCACAAAAGAGCAAGCAATTATCATTTTTTACTTTCTGTGACCTCAGAAAGCTAAAAATTAATTTTCAAAGTACAGATTTATGCCCCTAAAACTTTAATTATGCCTCCTAAGGATCAATATAGCACAAGACTATTTAGTCCTATGTTTAAGTCTTCAATGCAAAGACATGCATTAGTATCAGGACTTAAAAAAGAAACAACCAACACAGTCAAATAATTTTGAAAAGTTGGGATAAAATAGCATCCACTGAAATGGAAGTGTTTTGGGGCACAAGACAAATCATTAAAAGAACATTTTTTTTAATATCCAGTGTACATCCATGATAAGGATTTAGATTTACCAAACCAAGAACTTGAAAATTCAGATGATTGACAACTCAAGACAATTTGTTGTCCAAAGAGGAGAGAAAAAAGAAAAATATATATAAATATTATATAAATATATATTATATAAAAAGAAAAATACACTGGCTCTTTAATATTGAACCTAACTGAAATTAGTGTCATTTTTAAAAAAAGCCTATTAAAATTTTTTTTGTGCATGAACTTAATAGAAAGTTAAAGTAAAACATGGTGGTCTTAGGTCAGAAAAATACAAATTCTCAGACTATAAACAAGATGAGCTTATTTTAGGACTCTGCTATACTCAATGACAGCTTTATACAGGAGACCAAACTTCTGAAAGGCATTCCCAAAAGTTTTAGTCCACAAATATTGAGACACCAAGATGACTTTGAAAAAAGTATGAATTTTACAGATACCTAAACAACATTCACAGAAGACAGACATAGCAGAAAATTGTAAAGCATTTGGTTCTACTACAAGAAGCAGTCAGCCAAGCTGATACAGGACAGTGCTGAGTGTCCCACTTGTGTCCTTACCCACTTTGTTGAGATTATTCATATCCCACAGCTTTACTGGTCAGCTTTATTCAAGTGAGCTTAAATCTTTACTTGATGTGTGTTTCCATAACTTTGCAGTCAATGCAATTTAAAAAAAAATAAATTAATTATACCTGCAGAACTTTAAACTACTTTTCTATGGTCGTACAACACAGAAGCTGCATAGAGATTTTAGGCAATAATTCTTTTGTGAGCTGAAGACAAACTACTGGGGTAGTTTATAACTGAGTTAATAACAGTTTAAGTTACCAATTTCCTCTTTTACAATGCAGTAGGAACGAATAGGAAAGTGGTTTAAGAAAACGCGTATTTCAACACGCTCCTTGCGGCAAGCCCCATTCAATTAAACGCGTCAGTAACTACAGAAATTTGTTACTCTCTTCAGTCGCTTTAATCGCGAGAAAATTTAACAACATTTTCATTCTTCACGGCCAACAGAGTATCCTCCCCGTGTGGAGCGGAGCCGAGGCTGTGAGCGCCCTGGGGCTGGCTCTCCCCTGCGCTTCCAGCGCTCCCGAGCCCGGCCAGGACCCAGCCCTCAGCCCCGCGCCGCCGCTTCCCCTCAGCCCGCAACGCGCCGACGCCAAACACACCCTTTATACAACATTATCGTCAAAATCGTCTCTTAAACATTGAAAAGCATCGAGCAACCGGTGCCTTTTCCCTCAAAAGAGCCACTTCGAAGGCTGCAGCCTGTCCCTGCGCCCCGCGGGCAGGGCGCAGGCGGAGACCCCGGTCCCGGGGAGCGTCCCAAGGGAACGGGAGCCCAGGGACGGCACCGCGCGTTCTTCTGGCCGGGCAGCCCCACAGCGGAGCCTGGCTCCCGGTCCTCCTGCCGCCGCCGGTNGGCCGGGCAGCCCGCCCAGCTGTCGGGTGGTTAAAATTAGAAGGGCTGAATTCTCCCCTAAACCTGTGGCAAGCGGTATTGCCCCTACATGGTGTGTCGAGGAGCCTCAACAGCCTTTATAAAACTGCTCTTCTCAACCCGGCACCTGCTGCGGTTGCTTGGTCAGGAGCGTGATGTTTAAGAAATGCCACCAAGTTTGCTCGTGTGGCAGTGTGACAGCTCCCAGAAACTTCGTGCTTCCAAAGCGGGACGTTTCTGTCCCCGCATCCCGGCATCGGCTCTGCCCGTGTCCCGGCCAGCCCCGCCGGCACTACCCGTCTTACAGGACAGGCAGAGCAGTCACCGAGCGTGCCTTCATCCCCAGGAGGCTGACGAGTAGCATTCAGTGATGAAAGGCATTCCAGCCCGTCTCAAAACGTGACTAGCAATGATAAATGAGGACTGCCAAGGCAGAAAAACCCTTTCAATACATTCTGATGAGCTAGCTACATAGTGGGGCATT